AAACATTTAATAGGGAATGATAGGGGATGTCTCCCGTATCAGCCGTAAAGTTTCGGTGGGGGCCACCCAAGGTTAGCCGCATGGATCGCTTCCGGCCCAAGGCACAAGACACTTTTTAATATAGGCAATGTGGGCCCCTCTCCCGCGGGGAGAGCGTAGGGGCAATGCATGTGGTATCCCCTTCGTCTATAAAAGGAGGACCCTGCCCTACGAGTGAAGAGAGGTCTCTGAGAAAACTGGATTCTTGGAAGAGGCTGGCCAAGCCCTAGCTTGTAATCCCAGGATCTAAAATCTTCGTAACCACACGAAGGTCATCACACAGACAGGAGTAGGGTATTACGCTTGATAGCGGCCCGAACCTGTATAAACCCTCTCTCTCACTCTCTCGCCTTCCACCTTGTGAGCTTGATTCTCGCAGATTCACCTCGCTCGCGCGAGAACACATTCCTCAGTATTGCACCCGGTCCCCTGGCCGGACTCACAAAGGGGGGCCTCACAGCCTCCCGCTAGAGAGGATCACCCTCCGACAGGTGTATATAAGGAAGTAAGCAAAATTCAGGGGCATAGAAGGGATTAGTTAAAATTTCAGAGGCATATAAGAGATTTTCTCTTAAAATAAATGAATATGAGAACCAAAATTAGGCAGTATGTATTGAGCTCACTAATTAATTATTTGCACTAATCATTGGTCAAGCAGTAGTTAATTTCCCATCAGTTTCCCATTACACTCCACTAAATGAGAGTGGTGGTAGCTATGTATATTTTCCACTGAATAATGTGGTCACAGTCATCTACAAGCATCATTTTCATGGAGCTTGTTGGGTAGTTTTCATGTTCCACATATTTAAAAATATATACTTGACTACTAACTGATGGAGCATTCGATTCTCAGCTTTCTCTGAAAAGTTCCTCCCACATAGGCTGTCATTTCAAATGATGATTAGAAGAACTCATCAACACCACTGAGAAAACAGAAAAAGGGCTCATTAGTTGTGGTGCCTTGGTGTGCCATGAGTTGACAACTAATCACTGAACTGAAACAAGTTGATGTCTGCAGCCTCAAACATCCCTTTCTCCCCTTTTTTGCAGATTTGTGACACAAGGACACATACACTGCTGCTACATACATTCCCTATCATTAGGCCACATGAATGATGCAAGTTAAAGTAATGGGAATTGATTAAAGTTTGTTATAATTTATGCATATGGATTAGTAGCAAACCAACAAGCTAGAGAGACAGACATTCAGAATGAAGGACAGCAGCAATAGCAATAGCAACAGGATGACCCATCACCAGCAAAATGCAGGTGATTTGGCTAGTGTGTGGTTGGGCAGCTAGCAGCTGACACTAATTAGTAATTAATTAGTAATTAACTAGGAACAGGAGGGGCATTAGCCACCTAATCCGTCCTCTAGGCACGGTGTTGGCGCGTGGCAGAGCCAAATCTGTTTCTTAATCCTGAGAGGACCAAGCAAAATTAAAAGGGCATTATCGCTGATACGCGAGATCAGCCTGCTGCCTGTTCGTCTGCATCATGCATGGTCTGTCTGTCTATGGTTTGTGCGATTTGATTTGATCGGTTAACTTTTCGGTGAACATCATGTGAGTGAAGTTGTCAACTGTTGATGAAATCGATCGATACGTGGTCGGTCCACTACTGACAGCAACACGCCACAGATCGAAGCTGTTGAAGAGTGAAGTTTCATCAGACATTTTAAAAGTGAACAAGGTATCTTTTTTATCAATAAAATCTACTATCATGTTTTTGTTGCAAAAAGAGCTATAGTTCTGAACTTCTGATGAAAATCAATACTACAAGAGTGAGGTTTCAGACTTTCGTTTTCGTTTGTTGTGCGTTGCGCTACTGTAAAATACTACAGTCAAGTCGAGTAGTCGACCACAAGTCAGTCCTGAATCTCTAAACAAGTCAGGTGATCGATTGATCACTGTTAATTGTGCTTTCACATATGTATCATTTTGTCCACCACCTATCGTTATAAGTAGGAGTAGTACAATACAGCAATGGTAGTCTGATTTGGTCGATCCATCGATTAGCATTCAGTCTATATATTGCCGGCCGGTTTCTGAATATGCATGACTACTAAACACGCAGTAATTTGACTAGCTTGCTGTCAATTGTCATTGGCAAGGCATCAGAGAAGCAGTAATAATTCATCATCCAGCATGCAAGCATGATGATTTGTTTTTTTTGAAACAATCAAGCGTGATGAATTGAACTGCACACATCTGTATGAATGTTAATCCACGACGTCCCTACCACCAGCAGATCAATTTGGCACACGCCACCTCTGCACGAACATGAACGAATCATGCTACTAGTAGCAGAAGAGGAATATACCTGCGTGATACTCCAGTAATTAATTAAGTTCAGTTAATGTTATCGTCATGTTGACACCGGCCTCCGTGTTTTTTTTTTCTTCGGTAATCGCCACAGCCTCCGACCCAACGTTGACTAACTTAAAAGTGCTGCAAAAGTGGACACTGTTTAAGAAACGTCATTCATATTGTCAGCAAAAAGATATGAAAGTTCAGTACATGTTTCGTTAGAGTTTGTGGCGAATATATGTACGTAGTCGGTTACCGTTTAGGACTTGGAGTTGTACTAGGTATAGGACTAGAGTAAGAGTCGGACTCTATCCTAGGATCTCTCGTAAATAGAGGGGCACGCCTGTTGTAATCTCATGGCGATATAGTATAGCGGCTGCCGGCGGCAACCGGCTATGAGTCGTTGTAACTCTGATACGGTGTATATGCTGGATCGGGGAGGAGCACCCGTAATCAGTGCCCTGGAGATGTAGACCTCGGCTGAACTCCGTTATCAAATATCGTGCCTCGGTGTCGTCATCGTGTTTGGATCTCCTATGGCGTTTCTTCTGCGTTTGGTTTCCGATGTGATTTCGGAGCCGGTTTTATAACAAGTGGTATCAGAGCCCAAGGTTTGGAACCCGGAACAATCTCTATCAGACTAGTCTTTTGGGTTATGTAGACCTAGGACCTAAAGTTGTGGCTCCGGTTGGGCTTGAAGCCAGAGCAGACCCAATATGACCTAGGTGGCCCATAGTTGATGGGCCGAGCTACGCACTCTAACATGTTCATGTCTACTCTTTCCTACTATTTAAGATAGGTGTAAATTACTTTACTGATATACGGCGAGAGACGGCCGTCTGAGCGGTTAATATATCGGTAATGTCAGTTTCATCTGATCTAATGATCATCTTAATAAACTGAGTAATTGTACTAAGCTAAAACATATACGGTATTAGTGCCAAGCACGTCGTGCTATAGTAGCCTACTACTGCCGCACTACTAACTTGATGCTCCTACAAGATAGCACAAAGAGCTAGCTTAGCTGATCAGCGCTTGTCTGACTTTGATCAATCAGTGATATTATCGATCGAGCTGATCAGTGACCTCACATGCATGATATTTAGGCACCAATTATATTAGCTGTCAGCAACTGATCATATATTCAGCAACTGACCAAGTGGCTAGCAGTCCTATTTTATTCACAAAAATACCGATTATAGGATTAGTAATCTGGTTTAATTTTGCATAAAAAAATCAGTAATTAAAACACCACTGTGTGAGTCTATAATTAACCATGTAGGTTTTGCCGGTTTCCTTTTAACTAATCGTGCAATTGTCAGATTTTTTTTTCTTTTTAATATGGTCTCCCTATCCTCTTTTTGAGGTTTATTTAAAAAAAAAGAAGAAAAGGTCTGTAATTCGACCACTAATTTTTTCCTTGTATAATCACTAATCATGTTTGGAGAAGGATTCTGAAACTACATAAAACGGTAGTCACTGCACTCAATAGTATCATGTGGAAGGTCTGCATAATGCATGATCAAGCATATGTAAAGCTTGGATCGAGGCCAGCCAGAAGCTAGCTATGAAATGATGCGTGGAACTGCAAAAAGGAAAGGAAGAGAAAAGTGCAGGTACAGTCAACGTCGCGTGCCACGCTGGATCATATAAAGTGATATATCACGATGTACACTGACCGGTCAACGGTGCCTACGTAGGCTGGCAGGCAAGCTGTGTGCATGCAAAAATTGCAACTTGCAAACCTGAATATTTTTAGAGGCGAGGCGATTTTTCATTTTCATTTTACAAGCGTACGCGCACGTAGCAGACTCCACTACACACACACGACAACACACTCACATAGAGACCCGATACTACCAACTTATTAGCCTCATAAAAAAATTCGATTATAAATACTGTATAAAATATATGAACATAGGTATTTAAACCTTGGTGAATGAAGTTATTCACTCACAACTTCACCATCACATTGTTATATTTTCCCGTAGTTTATATATGCTACTTCCTCCGTTTCACAATGCAAGTCATTTTAGCATTTCCCGCATTCATATTGATGTTAATTAATTTAAATAAATATATAGATCTAAATTCATTAACATTAATATAAATATGAGAAATGCGAATGACTTATTGTGAAACGGAGGAAGTACTAAATGTAAATAAAATATAGTAATTTTTAGCTAAATATCTACTCCCTCCGAAGAATCAACCTAGGATGGGTGGAGATGTGACCCCTCCTAGGACAATACATGTGGACACCCCCTATGTCCACATACATCAACTTAGGAGATGTCACATCCCCTTCTAGATTGATTCTTTTTTTGAACGGAGGGAGTAGACATTAACCCTATCCAAATGTATAGATATAAGTTAATATTATATTTTAGGAGGGAAGAAGTAAGTGTTTTTAGGAGATGACACTTTATACATGTACTGTAGCAATTAGGTTGCAACATTTTCTCTGAAGACTTACCAATTTTGAAGAATCAAAGAGTGTCAACAGGAAGACCACATCTTCTATAGTGGGCCCATCTATCAGTGAGACAAGAGGGGACCTGTGAAGAGGAGCAACTGCTGAGTGTGGGGCCCACATGGCAGGGCAGGGCAGGGCACACCCTACCTATAAAGGCAGAAGGCAGTTCCCACCCCCACCCTTCTTCTTTCTCCTCTGTCACCACCATTCCCACTTCTTACCCCTTCTTCTTCTTCTTCCTAACCATCAAGGAATCAAACCCATTCTCCTAAGTTACCCTTAATTCTCCAACCTGCCATTACCAATCAAGCAAAAGCTCACTAACCACCCTCTCTTCTCACTCTCTTCCGCCATTGTTGCTCAGGAAGACGAAGAGCTCTGCCACACGCAGGCTGCAGCCTCTGATCAGTAAGTTTCACATGCATACTCTTCTTGCGCCATTAACAGCTGTTTGCTGTTCCTCTCCTAGTCATTTCTAGCTTCCATATCCACATGCTGTAGTACACTGTAGAGGCAGCTAAGATGTACATGTATCCATAAGCTTTCTAGCCTCATAGGATCATCCTGCAAACTGAAAAGAAAAATGCCTCGTTTTTTTCCTTTTCTTTATCTTTTGTGGTTTCCTTTCTCTTCAGAAAGTCACAATCTTGATTTCTCCCACGCGGAGTTTAAAGTTGGGCAGGCATCTTCTATCTATCTATCTATCAATGGGTACAGTCGTACAGGGGAAAGAGATATACACATGCCTGCGTGCCTACTTGCCTTTTGACCATCTCTGTTTATGATCAGTTTCTTAATCCATGCAGATTTCAAGCTCCCATTCCTGATTGGCAGATGTGCACTACTGCCACAGTCCATTTCACATATATTTTTGTTGTTCTCCCTTTGCTTCTCTTCTCCTCTCTTCTTGATCAGGTAGCCTAACTTATTAGTCTTCAAGTTCCAGCTGAGCAAGCTGCTAGTTTAGTCGATCTTACCACTACTTCCCCTGCATTCAATAGATTGATTACTGATGATATAACAACCAAACACTTTATAACATGAGTACTATACTTTACAACTAAAGAACGATCATTGGGGAGATCTACACTTTTATTTATATATGCATGTCTCTGCACTTTTTTTTTTATTCAGACACATGAGAGCTTCTCTTTATATGTCTCGTGTCCATGTTTGGCAGGGAGAGAGCAAGCTAAGGTGGTGAAGCATGAGGAAAGGCAATGCAAGATTCCCAAAGGTTGGAGCTTTGATCTCAATTGCATCAACATCATTTCTTGAAATTTCTCTCCTGTGCTTTGTTTAATTTACCGGGGTGTGTTTTTTTTTTCATATTTTGCGCAGTCATCGTCATGGCCGAGGACGAAAACGGTGGTGAAGAAATGGCTCAACCTGAAGAATGAGGAGTTTCATTCAGACTGCATCAGTAAGCTTTCATCTCAAAACAAGATGGATAAATAATTAACCATCCTTTTATGTTTTCTCCACCAAAAAATGGAATTCAGTGCTAATTTGATGTGTTTAATCAGACGAGAGCTTTGCGCAAGGGAGGCAAGAGAGGAGGAAGAGCTGCTCGGACAAAGATGGCAGCCTTCTGACGGGAAGAGATTTGTCAGGTACAATGCAACTTCCCTCTTCTGACGGGAAGAGATTTACAAAGCAGTACACAACTGCTGCTGCAATGCTAGTACTACAGCAACAACTTCAGAACTGCTCCTCTCTTTATTAATCTTCATGTTTCAAAAGGTATCAAAAAGTGAGAACATAGTTACTGTTTCTCCACGTCTACTTCACGAGATGGAACTCAACTCTGAGCTTTTGCAGAGCATCTGCATACTAGCAGTAATACTACTACTAGCTTGCACAACCTGAAGAAAAAAATCAGATGTTTGTAATTGAGGTCAATTTGGTTTGTTTCTTTTTACTTGGTTTCTTTAATCTTTTTTTCATATTCATGTACAGGTGGTTGGCTGGTGGAGAGCTCTGAAAATCTGAGACCTCCTGCCCGGTATGGCTCACACCCATCAAGTTCTTCGTGTCAACCTCCCAAGGAGCTTAGGTGAGTCGACATGAATACACATACTACGACTACATGTATTCATTTCAGAATTCAGATTGCGTGTACCGATGGAGAGTGCATTTCTTACATCACCACACTGCATACATCATCCAGAGGTATGGAGCTAGCCAGTGAGATGAACAAGAAACAAAAATAACAGGCTGTGGGATGCATGAACACGTTCTGAATTTCTCTTCCTGTCATGTCAACGGGAGAGCAAGATTCAGCACGCACTTTGTTCAGAGACTGTGTCGAGTTCAGTTCAAACGAATTGATCGGTTAGGGCTATGTTTAGTTCACACTGAAGTATAGAAGTTTAGTTGAAATTAGTACGATGTGATAGAAAAATTATGTGTGTATGAAAGGTTTGATGTGATGGAAAGTTGGAAGTTTGGAAAAAAAAAAACTTTGGAACTAAACAGGGCCTAGATAGCTAGCTGGAATATCGAATTAGTGGATAACATTTGGGAATATTTTGGGGCTGGCATCTCGTGGCTATCTTGGTTGTTTAATCCATGGACAGTAGTACACACTACACACAGTATAGTTAGCTGCAGTAAGACAGTTTTGTAGTCCAACTGAACCTAGCTGATGGGTCTAGATAATGTGTTAATGATGGTGTTAGATGCGTGTATTGTACTACTTGTACATCGAAGATGCGTGTATTGTACTACTTGTACATCGTGCGTATGAAAGTATAATTATTTATGTATGTACGTATAAATATACAGGATGTTCGTGGGGACGTGGAACGTGGGAGGAAGAGCACCGGATCAAGGGCTGGACATCTCAAGCTGGCTCCTGGACCAGCAACCTGCATCCTCCCCTGCTCACATCTATGTTCTTGGGTATGCACTCATCTAGTTGCTGTAGTATTATCATCAGTGATTTGCATTTGCATCTTTATATCTTATCTTCAATCCTACTAATTCACTGCATGTAATTAAGTTTGTTTAATTACCTCGGATTCTAGGATGGAACACACTGCTTTCAGAAACTGGTAGGACAAACTGGTAGGATGGAGTAGTATTGACTTGTGAAGATGGGCAGCAAAAATAGTGGGCTGCCCATATTCAGAAGTGAACCTCAAAAAATTCTACTGATGATTCAGATCATGAAACAGTGTGCTAGCAGGTTAATTAAACTGCTATGGATTTCAGTGTAAACCCATACTCCGTACTGACCAGAATTATGGCATTCTGTTACTTCTTTTAACATAGGAACGGTCACCTGAAGCTGTAGGTTAGCATAGCTGCAGAGCTATGGCCATGGGTTTCAGTGTTTTGGATTTCAGGACCTAATCATGATTATTCCATCACCTGGAGTATTCACCAGGAGATGTAATTATACTAACGGTGCTACTAGTAATTAATTTGCTTCCTTCCATTCCTGACATATGCCTTGATCAACATAAACAAGACGGCATTGTTCCATGAAACAGTGACACAATGATGCATTTCCATTTGACCAACAGCTATGACTCCAGAGGGATTTTACTAATTAATCATTTAATCTGTCTGTGTATCGGTAAGCCTAAAGTTTGATTATCCTAAGTAAGTGTTCTTTACTATCATGCCACAGGTTCCAGGAAATAGTGCCGTTGAATGCGGGAAATGTCCTTGGGGCTGAGGATAAGGGGCCCACATACAAGTGGCTCGATCTCATTCGCCGAGCTCTAAACCCTTCCTCCTCTGAAAGAAGCCATAGTTTTCCTAGCAATTACCCATATGCCACTGAAGCAAGTCCTGAGCGACCCAAAAACGATAGGGTCAGCTTCTCGGACTTGCTAGCGATGGAGGACAGACTCAGCATGGTATCAGAGCTAGACGACGACAGCGAGCCGTCGACCTCGAACCCAGAATCGAGCAGCGAGGAGGAAACGACGGATGTCGCGACGCGATACCTGAGGTCGGCGGGGCAAGGGTACCGGCTAGCTGCCAGCAAGCAGATGGTGGGGATCTTCCTCTGCGTGTGGGTCCTGGCTGACCTGATGCCATGTATCACAAGTCTCAGGGTGTCTTGTGTTGGCAGGGGCATCATGGGTTACATGGGTAATAAGGTAATTAAACTGTGAACTTATTACTTGCCGATCAATTTCATCAATTCATAAGATGATGATCAAATTGTGGCGTAATTAATTTGTTTTTAATTTGGAATTGGTTTGTGATGATGAAGGGGTCGATATCGATAAGCCTGACGGTGCAAGGGAGCACGACGATGTGCTTCGTGTGCACGCACCTGGCGTCCGGCGAGAAGGACGGCGACGAGGTGCGTAGGAACAGCGACGTCGTCGAGATCCTCAAGAGGACGCGCTTCACGCGGCGGCGCCGGCTGTCCGCGCCGGCGGCGGCGGTGCCGTCGCCGGAGACCATCTTGGAGCATGAGTAAGACACTGAACAATTCCATCTGTCGTCCCTGACCCTGATCGACTTGATCTTGTATGGATGTATGTCTGAATGATTTTTGAACTGCATGATTATATTTGCAGCAAGATCATATGGCTCGGTGATCTGAATTACCGGCTGACGGGCAGCGGCAGCGGCGACACGCAGGAGCTGCTCGACAAGAACGACTGGCAAGCATTGCTGCAGAAGGATCAGGTGCGAATCAATGACAGTAAATCTGAAGCTCAGAACTGAAGCAGTACAAATTCAGAGATGAATAATCGTGCATGCATGTAAGCTAAAAATTTGATGGCTGCGTGAATCTGCTGCAGTTGCGAGTGGAGCAGAGAGCCGGGCGGGTGTTCGGGGGATGGGAGGAAGGGCAGATAAGCTTCCCGCCGACGTACAAATACCTCGCCGACTCCGACACCTACGCCGCCGCCGCCGCCTTCACCTCCTCCGCCAGCAAGAAGCGCACCCCGGCATGGTATGTAAATGTAATTAAATTTCTCCTACCATTACTGTCACAAACAAAATTACTCTTGTTATGTTCAGACAAATTAACTAACATTAATAACCCCTGCAATAGGGATCAGATAGGATTTAGCTAGAGATCACATGCATGGTTCACGATCGATCCAAAAAAAAGAATGCATGAGAATAATGATGCAGTAGCTAGGGCGGGCTGAATGCAATGAATCATTAAGTCAGTCATTCATGTGACTACGTGAGGTAGCTGCTACGCAGGCACATGCATACTGATTCCTGCATATATTCCTCCTTAATAGCTAGATCGTGCACAGTTTTGACTTAATCCATCCGCAATACTCTCCATCACCATTGCATGTTGATATGCATGATATATGATGATATGCATGTTTCCGTCACCATTGCAACAATTAAGAATGAGATTCTACAAATCGTGACCAATCAATCGAGTTACTGTCGAGTACTACAGAATTGGGAATATTCAGAGCAACAGAAGGTTATATATATATATATATATATATATATATATATATATATATATATATATATATATATATATATATATATGCCCTCCATCCAACTGAATTTGATTAGCACGTATACTAGCTATACACACAGAATGTTAGCACTAGCTTAATTATATTCCAGTATACAATTGATCAGACCTGGGGTAGAGTAGAGTAGACTCCATGGTGTGCAGTCCTTGTCACGCTCTGCTAATTAATCTGCCTCTAAATATTGCTATACTCCTAATTAGTATTAAAATGTATGGTATAAAATATAATATTTTTTAGTACTATGAGTCTAGAAGTAACACGAAGAATTTGGCTTAACTGACCCTAAAAATGCAGGTGTGACCGCATCCTGTGGCGCGGTTCGGGGATGGAGCAGGTGCGGTACGCGCGCGGGGAGTCGCGGTTCTCCGACCACCGCCCCGTCAACTCCCTCTTCTCCGTGCAGCTCGCCGCCGGCGGTAACAACGCCAAGTCCGACCACCTCCACCTCCTGCTCCTCCGCCCACGGGCCGCCGGACCTGAAGCAGCAGCTGGCATCGGCCTCCGCTCATCCAGATTCTGACACACACACGTAGATGAGCATGTAGTATGCCTACTCACTAGCCTGCCAGGATCGATGAAGGGCTGCCGGATCGAGAGCAAACAGATTGCCGTTGGATGAGCAGACAAGCTTGTGGCGAATCGATGGAGGAGAGAGGGTAGACTAGCGCAGTGTTGACACACGAACAGGGGACATTCTTCTTGGGAACCCAATACCCAACGGAATGGAGTTTTGTCTACTGCCCATACTGCTGCCAGACTACGGGCTGGCATCTGCAGCTTTGATTAGTAATTGTACCCCTGTACAGATTAATCCTAGTAGGAGTACTATTAAACGGGATTTAGAATGAATTGGGATAAAAAAAAATAAACTTTTAAAAAAAACTTTTCAGATTTAGAAATATTACTATCAAAAGTGGATAGTATTCGAGTTTTTGATGGGCTGCTAGTTACTACGAACAAGAATGTATGATGGGGGGCTGCCAGTGTAGTGTCGTGGTCCCACATGAGTGGATGTCCGAGGTGGGGGTTGCCGGCGAGAAGCCACAACCCACGCCGGCCGCCGGTGATCAGCCTCCACCCTACACGGCGCCGCCGTCTCCTTTGATTTTGTTGATGCGTCCAACTCACCACGATTTATCTATGGACCCAATTAATGTTAGCGAACTGGGCCGATATCTTAACTAAAGGGCAGTTGGATTGGGCCAACGCAAAAATGGAAGCCCGGCACGATGTATCTACTAGGCCTTTGCTTACATCAAGTTCGTGCGTGTGTGTAATCTGGCTGGCCCATTACATGCGTGCAGCACCAACGCCAATTCCACGCCAATAACAAAGATAGACGCGTCCGGTGTCGCCTCTTTCTCTTTCTTTTTTTTTTTAAAAAAGAGAGAGAATAGCCAACATGATCTCTTAAAGTATTTTTTTCCTATGGTATATATCTAATTCATCCTTATATTTGTTTTTTTTTGTCTTTTTTCTATCATACACGTTAGGGTAAATTAGACAATCCATTATAGATTTTGCATGGATGATGACATGGCATGTTCATATAATGATTTCGGTGGAACCAAGGACTATTCTAAGCCATATGATAAAGTTTAAGAGTTTCTTTGAATAATATGAAAAGTTAGGAACTGAACTGATACCAAACCAAAACTTTAAGGACTGCATTGGCTATTATCCCAAAAGACAAGAGTAAATTCCGTTGGGTCACAGGTATTATGGTCTAAATTACATAAAATCATATGAGTTTTGATATTTGGCAAATAACCTCGGATATTACGTTACAAAATTTTCATAAAACTACATCGGTTATCCATTTTGACTTGTTATTATACTAAAATAAAAATGTTTAAACTTAGATAGCTACAGCTTGTATATGATGGGTCAAAGGAATTGTAGATTTCATACTTAATTTTAGAACTCATATAGTAATGGTGGATCGAAGGATAATTGGTCAAATGTGTGGATCAAAGGATAATTTTAGACCATCTGTCCAGAAAATATTTCGGCCCTCTTCTTTTTTAGCAATGTTGTGGAGATTATGGATACCCCATATCTACATGACAGTTATAATTTAGTCGGATATACGGTACCAGATATAGATAGAATATCTTTATGAGGACTCGGGTTAGTTTTTAACTTGTATGTCAAGGAAATACCTGAGATCCTAGTCGGTTACGATTGTATTTTATTTGTAATTACATATTCCGTTAGGGATATGGACTGTACTTTGTAAAGCGGATTCCTTCCCCTATATAAGGAGGGGTCCGTGTGCCTCTCGAGGCATGATTCTTTTTTTCCAGTTTATACAATCAATAACACACTCGGCGGAATCATCCCCGGACAGGAGTAGGGTATTACTTCTTGAATAAGAAGGCCTGAACCTGTATAAAATTCCTTGTCTCCTAACCCATCCACTTTCCTAGCTTGATAGCCACCCCCTTTTATTATTGCCGAAATCTTGTTTCGACAGTTGGCGCGCCAGGTAGGGGAAGCGTCAAGTTTTTGCCGACTAAGTGCGATGGGATCCGTTTCTGGCATCGACGACTTCGCCTTCCCTCCCGGGCAGGCGTTCCGGTTCGGCAGCCTCAACTTCATCACCAACGACTTCGGCAAGATCTCTCTCCTTGACTCGGATTCGAACCAGTCGGGGAGAGATCAGGTCCCCGCGCCGTTCGGTATTCCGAACTCGGCCGAGGCCTACTCCAAGATCATCTCTCCCGAGTCAGCTTCAAACCACTCGGACGAGATCCGATCTACTCTTCAGCGACCAGATCAAGATGATGGGTCCTATCCCTCAATCCTGATGAAACTTTCTGATGATTTGGCCGCTGTCTTTACGGCCAAGACATCTCCCACTCAAAGATCTAGGCGAGCTCTGGCTTCAGCCCCGATCCAATCTAGATCCAGGGAGGTTGGAGTTATACTCCAACCTCTTGGGACAGTCTCGACGGAAGAGTTGGATGGCTACCTCAGCTTCCCCGGCGTCAGTTCTCGACCAACCGAGATACTCGACTACGACGACTTCGGCTACCACTACGACCACGGCGACCTCGACAACTTCGACGACAGCTATGAGGATAACTACGCGCCTCTCTTCTTCGGCGTATTCATGGCTGACAACGAAACGGAGGAACAGCGCCGAGCCCGAGAAGCGGACCAAGAGCGCGCACGACAAGAAACTGAACGTCGCCGACTGGAGGAAGAGCGACAGCGACATGAGCGAGAACGACTACAGCGTGAGCAACAAGATCGCGAACGGATTGCAAAGGAGGCTGAAGATCGACGGCAGCGCGCCTTGGAATCTGGGCGACGAGCGAGAGAGCTCATTGGGCAACAAGACGTCGATGGAACAGCGGTTTTTCGCACCCCCTAGCAGAATGCGGTTGCAGCAATCACTCTCCTCGACACTCTCCTCAAGGAAGACGCACTCAACCAAGCTGATCATGTTGTCAACATCTTGAACCAGACGAAGACCATGATCGTTGCCTCGGTTCCAGCCAACTCCGCAAGCACCCGCACCCCGACTGGTAGCTGAGTCCCTCACCTTCGATCTCAGGACTATCACCAGCCAAGCCTCAGCATTGCCGGCGCCGGATCTAGTCGCAGTAGTAGGGGACATGATGAACGGTCTGTTCGTTCGCCTCCTGAACGATATAGGGAGCGTCGAATCGAACGACCACACTCTCCACATTGAAGGCGCCCCATCGATCTTCGCGACACCATCAACCAGCGCCGTGCAGCAAGAGGCCATTATTCACCGGATCACTACGACGATGATGTGGACAGAGTTGCTGCCTTCACAAGCGATCTGCGTCGAGTGGATTGGCCAGCCGGCTTTAAGCCGACTGGAATCGAGAAATATGACGGCACCACCAACCCTGAGTCTTGGCTCACCGTCTATGGTCTCGCAATCCGCGCAGCAGGAGGAGACAGCAAAGCCATGGCGAATTATCTACCTGTGGCCCTGGCGGATTCTGCCCAGTCATGGCTTCACGGGCTACCCCGCGGCACGATCGGATCATGGGCAGAGCTACGCGACCACTTCATCGCCAACTTCCAAGGCACTTTTGAACGGCCTGGTACACAATTCAATCTCTACAACATCATTCAGAAGTCTGGAGAATCTCTTCGAGATTACATTCGACGCTTCTCTGAGCAATGCAACAAGATCTCCGACATCACCGACGACGTCATCATTGCCGCCTTTACTAAAGGCATTCGCCACGACGACCTAGTCGGCAAGTTCGGACGCAAACCTCCCAAGACGGTCAAGCAGATGTTTGAAAAAGCCAATGAGTATGCCAAAGCCGAAGATGCTATTACGGCGTCCAAGCAGTCGGGCACCACTTAGAAGCCAAAGAAGGATACGCCGACCGCAGGAGGAAGTGGAAGTAACAACCACAAGGATCACAAGCGTAAGCCCGAAGAACTTGTGGCAACAACCTCTCCATCTTCCCGACAACGTCCCCGTGTCAACACCTTCGACAAGATAATGAACTCCCAATGTCCGCATCATCCCAACTCCAACCACGTGGCCAAAGACTGCTTCGTCTACAAACAGTTTGCGGAGCAATACGTCAAGAACGCACGTAAGCCCTCAGACGAAGATCAAGGCACATCAAATAAGAAAGATGATGAAGACGATGCCCCGACTGGTTTTCAAGATCATCGCAAAGAACTCAATCACATCTTCGGCGGACCCCTGGCTTATGAATCTAAGAGAAAGCAGAAGCTAACAGAACGGGAGATCAATGCGGTTCAGCCTAACACACCCCAATACCTTCGGTGGTCAGAAATAGCAATCAAGTTCGACCGCTCGGATCATCCCGACCGAGTGGTCCACCCGGGGCGGTACCCCCTGGTACTAGACCCAGTGGTTCGCAATGTCAAGCTCCAACGGACTCTCATCGATGGTGGCAGTGCACTCAACATCCTTTTCGCTAAGACCCTGGACGATATGCAGATTCCTCGCATGGAATTAAAGCCGAGTAATGCACCCTTCCACGGTGTTATCCCAGGATTGTCAGCTACACCACTCGGCCAGATCACTCTTCCAGTTACCTTCGGCACTCGGGAGAATTTTCGCACAGAAAACGTTTGTTTCGAAGTCGCTGATTTCGAGATAGCATACCATGCTATACTCGGACGACCGGCTCTAGCCAAATTCATGGCCGTCCCACACTACACCTACATGATGATGAAGATGCCTGGTCCTCGAGGAGTCATATCACTACGGAGCGACATTAAGCAGGCCGTCACATGTGACAAAGAGAGTTGCGAGATGGCCCAAACCCACGAGATCACTCTTGCTCGCGAAGCGATCCGACTGGACGCGACCACGGCAAGCGAGGGAGAAGTGCCTGCAACTAAGCTAACGAAGATCGAAGAAAGCGATGCTAAGACGAAAAAGATTCCCTTAGATCCCTCCGATCCTGATAAGACTGCTGTAATAGGCGCTGAGTTAGATTGTAAATAGGAAAGCGCGCTCATCACCTTTCTTCAAAATAATAAAGATATCATTGCATGGAAACCATCCGATATGCCGGGCATTCCTAGAGAGGTGATTGAGCACTCTTTACATGTTAAGGAAGACGCCCAACCCATCAAGCAACGACTCCGCCGTTTTGCACAGGACAGGAAGGACGCGATCAAGGAGGAATTAACCAAGCTGTTAGCAGCGGGCTTCATCAAGGAAGTCCTTCATCCCGACTGGCTGGCTAACCCAGTTCTGGTTCGGAAGAAGACCGGACAATGGCGCATGTGTGTCGATTACACCGACCTCAACAGGTCTTGCCCTAAAGATCCTTTCGGGTTACCTCGCATTGACCAGGTGGTTGACCCAACGGCCGGCTGCGAGCTACTCAGTTTCTTGGACT